TCCACATAGCATTCTGAATCATCGTCTTCATATGCCCTGGGGAGGGGACATGTCAGTCGAATTTTGCGTCTCATTCAAAAATGGCGCTGTTCAAATTCTTATAAAATTTGCCAATTATTCGCGAAGAGAACTGTTACGAACGTAATACCGTGCTTTTTCTGTCGTTAGATAATCAGAATAGTCCATATATGTGATTTGCTCGTTCATATATTTAGTGTGCAACTATAAAAACGAGAAAGTAAAAGTTACTGAGTTGTCAGTGTGAGTACCGCCATTTTGTGAAACCTCATTCAGAATGAGATTAACAGATGTGCAGTGCGTAGCAGCTTAGTATATAAACGACAGGACGCAATCAGCTTGGCAGACACTAGCAGCTACGATTGAAGAATTCAGAAGACACCATAAGTGTTGCGTCGTGAAAAACGTTGCATTTTTAGTGAATATCCGTGGAAATAATTGATAGAAAAATGACGAGCTGTGGTGACGTACCTTATAAAGTGTATTTACGAGATGGTTCTACCATCAAGGAAATTCGAAGGCTCAATATGAATGGCTATGGAAACGATTTTTCTTCCTTTCTTCTAAAGGTAAAACAAATCTTTCCTGATCTGGGTGACAAGGCTTTCACTGTTACATGGAGAGGTAATTATTATACGTTGTAATAATTTTAGCTCCGTTTATATTTCCTTGTTGAAATGAACTGATATATCTTATAATTCATTTGCAATATATTAAATAGCACTTGACACTGTTAGATATTTATATGAAATGTATGTATGTTCACAGATAGAGAAGGAGATGAGATTATAATATCAACTAATGAGGAATATGAATGTGCTAAATTTGAGCTCACAAAACCAAAGAAGTTATATATTACAATTTCATCAGAATCTACAAGAAATGAAACCACTAATAAGGAAAAATTGAAACATCTTGGTGTAGTATGTGATGGCTGTAATGGCGAAGTGGTTGGGTTCAGATACAAATGTGTAGAATGCCCAGATTTTGATCTATGTTCAGAATGTGAGATAGCAGGCAAACATGCTGAGCATTATATGATTCGTATATCGAGTCAATTAAATTACCGGTACAACAGGAAATTCCATCGTCATATTGGAAAAGCTATAAGAAAGAATGGAATACATGAACAAAAGAGATCCTGTTCCAGTGAAGATCATCTACCTAATAAAATCCATTGTACTATAAAGCCTTGGATGGAAGCTTATCTACCACTTCTTGATGATTTCATTAGTACAGTACTAGAAGTGCCAAAAACTGATACAAACACTGGCAATGAATCTCAGGTAAGTTTGAAATCAAGAATATTATTTCAAATACTATACAAGCATTGCCATCAAAATGTAATAATTTCTGTATTTGATAGGCTCAACAAACTGAGGATAAACCTCAAAAGGAACCTGCGCATACGGATGAGAATGTTACTAAGAAATTTCCTGGAGAAGGGAGAAAATTGATTGACAAAGAAAATAAAAATGAGGAATCAGAATCAGATGTTGCGTCAGTTGCGAGTGAAATAGATGAATGGTCTGTTATAAATAATACTCCTGAAGTTAATCAAGCATCTTCAACTTCATCGAAAGTAGATGAAAGTAATATAAAAGAGGTAAAATATTGTAAAACAATTTCAGTTAATATAGAGTTATAAATATATAGAGTATATCAAATTGTACGAAATATGAATATAATTATTTTTGTACTATTTTTATAAGGTTCCCTCTGCTTCAACGACTCCATCAGCACCGCAAGAAACTTCATCTAAAAAGATTTATCCCGGGTTACCAAAGCAAACTGTACATCATCAGGATCCACTAATCAACGAAGCTGTTGAAGCCATGATGAGAATGGGATTTTCAAATGACGGAGGATTATTAACTGCCCTATTGGAACACAAAAAGGGCAATATTAATAGCGTTATCGAGATATTGTTACCTGCAGATAACAAAAAGTAAATATCAAGATTTTGGCCCGATAGTTTTAAGCATGTTTTCTCTTAAAGATTGCTAGTTTTTTTGCCTTTTCTATGGATTCAAAGAAGGAAAAAATTTCAGTTTTGTGTTGGGTATCAATGTTTCTAATTATAATACTTGTATAAACATATTGTTCTTTTATATGTTAAACATTCCTCTCATGTACTACGTTCACTAATAAAATATGTAAGCACAGTTCTAGCGAAAAGATTAACGTGTAGTAATATAAATAGTTAATTAAAATACATATAAAACAGTTTAAAAAATGTCTCGGCACTCATGTTTATTTACAGAGAAAATTACAATGGTTTACAGAATTGCCAAAGATCATGTGGATTTTTGTTAGATAACAATTCCAACTCTTCTTGTCCTTGAGGACTAACTTCCCTAAGCCATTTTCGATCCTTATAATAGTTTAATATAGTTTTGAATTCTTCTTTGGAATAGTTTTCAACAGGTATAGGAAGAAAAGGATCTAAGTGTTCAAATCCTTTTTTCCCTAATAAATATTTTGGATAATGGGACTCTCTTCTGTCCTGAACAATACAACAGATTTTTAGAGCCTTTTACATAAAAAATACGTTTACATGTATTATGTTAAACAAATTATTAGATACCTTATTAGCTCTTGTATCCACTGTTAATATCGCAGCAGCGTTACACCAATCATACTTTACACTATTGAAGAACGAAGATGTTATTGATATTCGTTCAGGTGGTACAAACGTCCGAGTGTCGTCACGAATTAACGTAACATTAGAGGTAAATGCGTTAAAACCATCCATTATTACGAGTGTTTTACACTTTCCTGCTGTACTAGCGGCTTTAAGTTCACATACCAACGCATCAATAACTCCACAAGCAAATTTATGTCTTTGTATTCCGAATTCGATAAGATTTATAAGTGTATCTCCAGACTTTATAGATTCTTTTTGAGACCAGTTATAATCGTTCGAAAGTTTCAACTGAAAATATGCGAATTGATCTAATCAGAAGTAAATGTAAAATTAATTGCATTTATTACTTACATCTAACTGTGATAATACTACTTGATTTAACTGTTTAAAGTATTTCAACCAAGATGCTGCCTCTGGTGGTATATCCAGTTTACCTGGTACCAATGGGGATTCTACAATTTCTCTTGCAAACCGGAACCAAGTACAAACTGAAAATATAAAAACAAAATATGTGATGTATGAAATTCATAAATATTTTTCTTTTAAATATAATTCATCATACCCCATGGTAAGTGAAGTAGTATAAAATGCTTAGCAAGCCCGTAATGCATTAAATGTATCAATGTTGCGGTTTTTCCTGTACCATATTTACCATCTGATCAGTAATAAAGGTAAAACAATCTTTCATAAGTATAAAGTTATTATTTATATGTCAAGTAAATGAAGTGAACGTACATTTCAACTTCATTCAAGCTACATTTAAAAGGATACAGAGGATATATTTGTTAATAGGTTTTGTAAAATCCGTCTGCTCTAAATATGATATTAACTCAACTGCTGGTTTCCTAACTAAAATGCCAAGTTCTCTAAAAATCGATTCTTGCTTCCTGAATTCGATTGGCAGATTATCCTTTAATAATGCTGTGATATCTGAAGGTATTGTAAAAATTCGATTCAAACAGCTCTCGTCATGTTCTGGTGGGAACGATTCCGGCAAGCGTAACGATGAATTATTCGTATCCTGTATTTCTTTTGCAGCGGCCGTTATTAATGTTCGCCGACCGCTCGCAATGCACAATCTACTAAGTGATGAATCTAAATGATTGAAAGCAAAATCAAACAATTAAGAAATTTCTAAACGTGATATAAGTATATATATTACAAAAATTACTGATCTAATTGTCGTGAAAGTTAATTTGTTGTTTGTAGACGTACAGGTGTATGATATCATGGTGCGTACACTATTTTTACTCCTTTGTAAATTCTTTTCTTATAAATAATCACAAATTATTGACTTCAACACAACTGTAAGCAGCCATATTCGTTACTATAACCTGCTATAACCAAACCATAACCAAAACCCAACCGCCGCGCAGATGTATTCGATGTGTTATGTGAGTGTGATGTTCTACCTGATTCTATCCTAACAAATTTTGTAATACAAATAAATACAGAATAAAATAAAAATGAATTTAGAATTATTAGGTAAGAAATTTCACTTCGGCAGTTGATTGTTAAAGCTTGTTAATATATAACTCAATCTATTTTACAGAATCATTCGGTCAGAATTATCCAGAGGTAAGATATTTTCTATAAATGCAACATTATATGGTTTTTAATTCTGAACCATATAGATTTAATATTCGGAATCATTAGGAATTTGATGGTACGTTAGATTGCATATCACTAGCGGTTACCTGTACATTTAATAAAAGAGGTACCCTCCTTGCTGTTGGATGCAACGACGGAAGGATTGTTATTTGGGATTTCTTAACTCGTGGTGTTGCTAAACTCATTAGTGCTCATGTACATCCTGTCTGTTCGCTGAGGTAAGAAATTAGAAGTAATTCATAGTAAATATTGCATACTTATTGTATATCTCTTTTTTTAATTAGTTGGTCTAGAAATGGGCATAAATTGTTAAGCGCGTCTACAGACAATAATGTTTGTATATGGGATGTGCTATCAGGAGAATGTGATCAAAAGTATAGATTTCCGTCGCCAATACTGAAAGTCCAATTCCATCCAAGAAATCTTAATAAATTCTTAGTATGTCCTATGAGACATGCTGCAGTAATGGTTGATGTTGAAGGTTCACACAGAGTTATACCTCTTGATGACGATGTATGTAATAAATTTGAAATGCTAAGTGCCATTTTAAATTCTTTGCTTTATTTGTTATACTGTTTTATTTCAGAGTGATTTAAATATAGTAGCATCTTTCGACCGCAGAGGAGATTATGTGTATACTGGAAATGCTCGTGGTAGAATTTTAGTTCTCGATGCAGAATCGTTAACAGTGAAAGCCTCTTACAAAATATCACAAGGCACTGCTAGTAATACAGCTGTGAAGAGTATCGAATTTGCTAGACGCGGTTCGTGCTTCTTAGTAAACACGTCGGACAGAGTAATCCGTGTATACGATAGTACCGAAGTATTGGCTTGTGGCAAGGACGGCGAACCTGAACCAATACAAAAGCTGCAAGATCTTGTAAATAAAACCATGTGGAAGAAATGTTGTTTTTCCGGAGATGGGGAGTATGTGTGCGCTGGTTCTGCTAGGCAACATGCTTTGTACGTGTGGGAAAAGAGCATCGGGAATTTAGTTAAAATTTTGCATGGAACTAAAGGAGAGTTGTTGCTTGATGTTGTTGTAAGTAATGAATTCTTTATATTTTTATGAAACATAGTAGTATATCGAATATTAATACTACTATTAAAATTTTCAGTGGCATCCAGTAAGACCAATTATTGCTTCCATATCATCCGGCGTCGTTTCCATTTGGGCACAAAATCAAGTTGAAAATTGGTCTGCGTTCGCACCAGATTTTAAAGAATTGGATGAAAACGTCGAATACGAAGAAAGGGAGAGCGAATTCGATTTGAGCGATGAAGACAAGTCTGTGGTTCAAGGAGAAGAGGCTCAAGACGAAGAAATCGAAGTAGATGTTGCATCGATAGATAGAGTGGCTGCTTTCTGTAGTTCTGATGAAGAAATGGAAGATATTGGTTCGCTACAATTCTTACCTATATCGCCAGACGTAGAAGATTCTGAGGACAACCAAACGACACCACATGAGCCACCTGTAAAAAAACATCGTTCTCATGATATCCACTTGCAGGGTGCACCAGTTGACGGTAAAATATTTTGTATATATTAAATGATATAGCAAAATTCATTGTTCATTTCTTGTTTACGCTTTCAGAGACTCATCCATTGTTAAATAAAGGAAAGGATAAGCCAACAACTAAGAAAGGAAGACCAAGATTAGAACATAGAAAGGGAAAGTAATTTTAAATTCATTTCAGCATAAGAAGTGTCTTATAATGTACAGAATGACTAAAAGTGCTCCAAAAATATGTGTATCAACTGCGATAATGTTTTATACAATATATGCTATAAAACTTCTTACTTCCTATGGAATGTAATCTAATTTAATCTTAAATTTCTTTTATATTGAAATTTGTATTAAAATAAAGAATTGTATCTAAGATGTGTGTGAATTAGACAAAAAGCTTATCAAAGTGATATGAAGAAAAAAGCTATAAGGACTTGATAAAGGAGCTGTGTAAAGTATAGGAAGATTCATATTTGCCTGTTGCCTATGTTGTGCTTACTGTAGCAAGAGAAATATCAATTAAAATGGACATAACCTGTGTCTGGATGCGGAGTTGTTTTAAGAGAAAATTAATTGATCGATAAATAGTTTATCTTATCTTATGTATTTGTACATAAGAGCGCAATTTAATTGCGTAGTGTTTGGATCATTTGGATGTAATCGCCGCTACGTGTATAATAAATTTCAATTGCGATGTTAGTTTCGAGGTTACTGGAGCAGATCAACAAGAAGCTATTTAATGTTCAGAACAGGACGAGAAGAAGCGTACAGTCCGTAAAAGATGTACTATTCAGCGGCGGGATTATTATTGTTAGTGCAATCCTGATCGTTTGGTCATCTGTATTTCTTTACACAGCATTTTATTATACGTACGTGCCGAGCATTTCGTACGTACGGCCAGTACACTTACAATTCAAGTGAGCTTCAATTCGTACTTACCGGAATCATATCAAAAATAGTATTCGAATTTGATACCTTAGTTACTGTCTGTTATAGATCATGTAATGAACAGAAGGGGATATGTAGCTTCCCATCTGCACACGTACAGTTGACAAACAAACAGCAGTTGTTAATGGTCGGACAGCCTTACAAAGTTAATCTGCATTTAGAAATGCCCGAATCACCAGCTAATAAAGAACTTGGTAATCTTTGGCTTGTACTCTCACAAATGTCTAGGAAATAACATTTAATTGAAATAATGTTCAAACAGGTATGTTCATGGTTTGTGCTGAATTAAGGAGCAGAGATGGCTTCCTTGTGCAACATGCATGTAGATCTACCATGCTACATTATCGTAGCACATTGTTACATACGCTCACGACACTCACGTTCTCTCCTACGATGGTTTTTAGTAGTACAGAGGAAAAGCAAAATATAGTGCTTGAACTATTCGGGAATTTTGAGGAAGACCAAAATCATCCAGTTACAATAATTTACATTGAAATACAATCAAGGCATATTGAATTCTACTCGGCTACTCTTATGATAAATGCACATTTATCTGGCCTACGTTATTTAATGTTCCATTGGCCGATATTGTCTGCTATCGTTGGCATTGGCACAAATTTGTTTTTCATAGCACTTGTGTGCATTCTTTCCTATCTCCATTTCCATACTTATGAGGACATCATCGGAGATGATGGGTTTAGTTACGAGGAAGATAAGAAAGTTGAGAAAGAACAGGAATACAAAAGAGAATTGAATGTAGAAGAGGAAGAAGATCAGAAAATTAGTAACGAGCGTAAGTTATCTGTTTTAGTATTTATAAAATAGAAATGAAAGAGTACATACGATTCTTACTGGATTAATTTGTTTTTTGAAGAAACATCAGATTCATCATTGTCGGATGATCCTTTTATAGTGCCACATCTTGTCGAGGCTGAAGAATCCCATTCATCATATATCGAGTTACTGAAGTAATTCCATTGAGTTACACATTGTTTAAATACACAGTTTTATTAAAGTGACCAAATCTAAACTTCAAAAATATTTATTTTTCTACAATTCTATTATCACAATACTTTATTCAAATAAAGATCTTTAATAAAATAAATGTTACCTACATAATATTACCTGTCTTTTCCTTGTTTTTATATTGCGCCAATTAGTGGCGCCACCGGAACGAAGTTGCTCGCGGTCAAATCCGGGGATGTGTTCAGAGTGTAGTTCGGAGTGTATTCGAGTTCTTATGTTTTATTTTATTTAATTTCATCGTGACGAAATCGTAAATAATACGAGACGTTTTTTCATGTTGACTGACGTCACGATAATGCCTGTAGTGAGTAGTGTAAGGCATGCATTGGAACCGGCATAATTAGGACCGAACAAACGAAAGATAAAATTCGAAATGGACAGAAGGTAAGATTCATACGTTTTAAGCATCTATAAGGCGCGAAAGGGTTGGGAAATATACGATAAATAATTGGTTGAGGAACCGGTTTTGCATTTAATCGAGATCGCGCAACAAAGTAGGTTAAAAAGAGAAGCTGGTCAGAATTCGTGGGGTCATCTCTTACTTCTCTTATTTTATTTATGATTCACGCAGGTGTTCAAGCTTCTCTTTTCCTTATCTGCTTTTACCTTTGTCTTCCCCGTTATTTTTCTGTTAAATATTAAATTATTTTGTTTTCGTGTTGATCCGCGTAAAGCAGCACAAGAATAATTCGTAATCGCAAAAATAGAAACACGTCAGATGATGCTCGTTGCTTATTGTGTTCTTCAAATTAAATGAATTTGTTTTATAGATATAATCAAAATGCAGTGATGGTACGAGAAAGTGCTGTTCTACTTGGTAAATGTTCAACGATTCCGGCTACTTCTGCAAATCTACTACGTTGGTGGTCTGGTGAGTCTCAATTCAAGTTATAATACGAACATACACTATCATAATTAGAAAATTATTTATATACATAAAAACTGAATGAGAAAGTACGAAAAGCATAATAATTATAATATAATCTTCTAATTATGTTGAATATTTTTGCATGTGCATTATTTTAAAATTTCGTTACATTGCAATTATGCACTGCTTACTTCATGAATATTCTCGCCATACAAGTATACATGTACAACAGAGTTCTTTGTGAAATACTGATTTCAATGCAAATTCAAATATTTAAGTAAACTGAACAGTTTTTCTTCCGCAATTGAATCCGTCTCTGCGAGGTCGATGAACCGACTCGCGGTAGAGCATTTGAAATCTATTTCAGAATTATATTTCACTTAACTGTTCTATGTTTTCGTCGTTGGTGAATTATTAAATGATCACATGAAATATTTCGTATTGGAAGTTATGAAGTCACGTGATTTTACACTGAGAGAAACGTCAAAGCAATGTAGGAACAATAGTTGTCGATAATTGAAAATGATTGATCTACAGAGACGAATACTTAATTGTTCGAATATTGTTCATTCCATTCCTGGTAATTGAAATATTGCAAAAAGCTGGAATCTGAGAAATGTCCATTGTACAGGATTTTCAATAGGAAAATAAATCCAGCTAGTTGGATTGTGATTTTATTTTAATAAATGCAATATAGCTTTTAAGCTTGGCTTATAGATTTTCTGAAATACAAAACGCATTGATTATATGTATATGAGATTCAATGCTATTGAGCATGCTGACATTTTCAATTAATAACCAAACTATGCTACCTGGATGCATCGGAATTACACGTATTTTAACCCACTTGCCGTCATGAAGTACGTTTCATCTTTTGACTTTACGCAGTATTAGTATGTACAACACAAGTTACCTTCTATCGTGCATGCCCTTTACATTTACCATAAATTCACTTTACAAAGCTTAGGAGATAGTAAATATTGTTGTCACCATTTACTCCTCTATCTCTTGTCTCTTTGTCTGTTTTCCCTTGTTAATTAGCTCTACCAGAGTTATTAAATCATACTGACGAAATGTTTCGACGCGAATTAGTTAGTAGTCATTAATTCATCTGTACGTAGCCGTATTTTATTAATTGTGGCAGACGTGGCGGAAGTTATGTTGAAACCATTGGCTTCCGATTTCAGAAGCGATAAGCTTGTTGCCCGTGAAAACAGAAATGATAATGAGTATTATCGTTTTTATCCGGTAACGGGTATCAGACTTTGAAACGATTTTGCTATTATTATCACCGCTGCGAGCGAGCTCGTCCAAATGGACATTATCTTCCTTTTTTCTCGCATCGGATTGTTCCTTGTTTGGAAATGAGGATTTTCATTCCATTTCATTTTATTTTAAATTCCACGCTAAACTAATCGATGAACGATATTCGAGCCATTATCGGTCTGTATTTACTTTCGTCGAGAGTATCGAATTTCTACTAGAACGTCAATATCAGCAAACGTGCTTTTAACCGTACAACTACGATCGATGCAAAACTCATAACAAATATATCCATATTGAAAGAATAGTTTACTGTACTCGTGTAACGTCAAAGCACAATTGCATCGGAGTAAAATTTCTTGCATTGAGTAAAATGGAAGTCATTTGCGAATTGTGTTCCTAAACGGTTTTTACCTGACTGTCTAAAATTGTTACGTTCGGTTTGCGATACAAACAACGTAAGCTTAGCGACTTGAAGGATCGGTTACTAATTCGATTTACGTGATCCGTTAATTTTAAGAAATTCAATCAGTTGGCAGTTGGCCACCGGACGCCAAAATCTAGTTACCCATTACGAAACGAGATCCAGGCGAATCTAATAATGAGATAAACATTTGCACTTCCCAGATTAATTTTTTCGATCAAATTATAGATTGCATACGTAAACAGTTGATTCTGTCCAAAGTCGCAGAGCGTTTCAATGTAAATCGTTCGCTTTGGAGTTGACATGGTCTCTGATGAAATAAGAGCAACCCCCTCACGATTTCAAAGGTCCCTTTTGAAACAGAATTCTGCTAGGTACAATTCGGATAGTATCGAATAATCGAATGTGCATCGTGATCACATGATCGTAATGCTTTTAGCCATAATGTAACAGCTTTGATATGCAAATCCTCGGTTGGACGCACGACCAAGGCCTTTATTCGTATCGGGGATCTGTGATTCGCGCGTGTTTCACTACAGACGTGCAAAAAATTTTCGTAACACGAAGTACGATCAATGACTATATTATGCAACCACGTCTGGTTTCTCATGCAATTGAGATTCTTGTCCTCGAACAAGGAACGAACTCTTTATCGATTTAATACAACATTCGTGTTCGATTCAGCTATTCCTCTTGTAAATGCTATGACATTTTCACACCGTAACGCATGACGAGGACTAATGCCCAGCATACGTAACGTTATCTCGCGCGACCACTCACTTACTACTTCTAATCAGTCCACCTGCGAACGTGCAGCTGAACAAGCGTGCACGATGGTCGCAGTTATAGACTCGGTGTACACATTATACACATTATGGTCCTTTCTGTGCTTGGGTATATCGAGAACGACCAGGCTTCGCTCGTGTTACACCGATTCCGTAGCGAGCGACCGTGTACCAATTTATTTAGCGACTATACGTGTAATCGCGAATTGCAACTATGTACCACGGGTCTCACGCGATCCGAGCTTGCTTGTGTACGCACCGCGAGAGATAAGTAAATCCATTCCTGTGGAGAATTCTTACCGTTTCGACGGATACCGGTTTCAGTTTCAAGATCGAAAAATTCGAAATGAAACCGACCGATAAAGATCTCGATACTTGTCTCCGATTCAGAGTCACCCGACAGCCAATATACCTGATAAACGCCTGTCCCTGTTTCGTTTCGACCGACCACGACAATTTATCTCCGTTGCCGCTGGTAATGAGGTCGTGATATCCCTGTTGTCGTGGTTCCCGACATCCTCGTGTTCACCCCGGACGAATAAGCGTGACATGGGTCCGCGATTAGACGCCACGGGCTACGCAACTTTCTGTGATTCCAAGTTATAATTTCCCGACGGTACCGTGTGTGTAATGATTTCGGTAATGCCATTAATTCCTTCGCAAAACATCTAAAGTTTAAATAACGCGTCTTCGCCTTTTAGTTTCTTATTAAGCGACATGCTTCGGTTCGAGAATAGAATATTTCTATACGTGTACTATTTCATTCCATGATTCTTGATCCAAGGATGTCATCTCTAATTTGGGATATCTGTAGATTATATTTGTTATCTGTTAGATTCAAAATAATTAAGTTCACTTCTTCGTTTAAGTTCACCAACATCGTTTCCAATTTTGAAGTAAAATAGTAATTATTTCTATTTCGGATTATCGCGTTAATTTTTCATTGCTTCGAACTTAAATTCATTCTTCTCTTCTATTCAGTATCGCACTAACTTAATCAGCTAACACTGGTTAATTGGAGGAGTTCATATTTAGGTGCAATGTGATCCTGTTTCCGGGTTTAACGAACGTCCAAGCAGCAGAAGCGCACTTTTTACCAGCTCGATATTGAAGTTGTGGGTCAAGTTCCGATTAATTGCTTAATGCATTCTGTGTTGCATTGTTTTTGCATGACTTTTGCAAGGTACATTGATGCACAGATAAGCGCGCTTTTAAAAGCTTATTATAAGTACCTAGGCTTTTTACCATGGACATTGTAGATCATGTTTATTCACGTTATTAGATAACACAATATACATTAATTAATGCCCGTCGAAGTTAATTCTAGTGAACGTCACGTTGTCCGGTACGTCTCAGTCACACGATGACAGGGTAAGGCTGTCCCATTAATGCTTTGTTAAGGGTCTCATTAGGAATCTGTAAAATTGACGTTGCGTCACTAATTGCGGCTCAGGTAGTGTTGCGGTCCTAATAGTTGCAAGTTTCCTCGTAACAGCTTGTACATACTTTCTGTCGGAATTAAATGTCAATAATACTCTACCCAATATCACGTTGTGATATCGAAGCAGCTTATCAATTTAGACTCTGTGATCAGAAGTATGCGCTTAAGGATGTATTGGCTATACAATCAATCCTAAAAGTTTATGTACCTTAGAAAAACGCATTTCCTATAATT